CCTCAGACTCCGCTGAGAAAAAGGGAAATGAATCACCAGTTCTCGTCAGTTCTTGTCAGGATGCCAGGGGCACGTTTCAAACAGTGTCTAATCCCTGCTGGATTTACTGACCTTTTTACACCCACTGCTGTCTTTTTTTCATCATAGGCCTCAATGAATGTGCCAATAACAATGGCGGCTGCTCTCACATATGCAGGGACCGGCGGATAGGCTACGAGTGCGATTGTCCCTCAGGTTACACGCTGCTGGATCAGAGGACTTGTGGAGGTAAAGATTCCTCTTAATTCCACTGATGTTGTTTTAGTGTTTAGCACATTTCTAACACAAAATAATATAACTTTATTGAACCAGTGATGAGATACTGTTGTTTTTTAGGGCATGTACAGAGTGTATTAAATCTTAATGTGGTCTCTCAATCATATTACATATGTCTGAGGCCCTGGTAATACCTGTCAGATGTTATTCTGTCTAAATTATGGCAAACAGCCCAAAAAATATTCTTAGGGTTTTGGCCAAAATATATATTTTTTCTGTCTATAACATGCTTAAAAAATATATAATATACTTAACCAAACCATTGTGGCAGTTTTTGTTAAATTACTTTTGAATCATGCCTAGACTATCTTTCTGAAAAAATGTTGTTGGATAAGGAGTGTAGTGGTAGAAACAGTCAGTGAGTCTAGAGATGTCTAAAACCTTGCTAGCTAAGTGTGATTTCCTCACACAGTGACTGTCACGTTTTGATCAAGTTATTACATAGTTACATACTACAGCAAAACAGACATAAGCTTAATCAATGTCGAAATGTCCTCGATGCTCCAGAGCCTCAGTTGGAATTTTATTTTTAAATGTAATTTTCACATTTGTTGTTAACCAGACTTTAAAATGCTAGAACTTGTGATGATTGAGATACTAATAAAACACATATTTCACTTCAGGAAAGTGTGTAGTTTTCAGAACTTCATGTAGTAGAAAATGTCCAAATTTTACCATGTAAAGGGTTTTCCCAGGCCATACATTTATGTTACAACCACAGGTATGTGGCTTGAATTGCCAGCCATGAAGTGGATATAGAAACTGTCACAAGATGACAAGACTGTCACTCTTTGCTTTTTCTGTACTTCATATTTAACTGATTTGTTTCTCCTCCAGACATAGACGAATGTGAGAACCCAGACACCTGCAGTCAAATTTGCATCAACTACAAAGGTGACTACAAGTGTGAATGCTATGAGGGTTACGAAATGGATCCAGTTTCCAACACGTGCAAGGCTGTTGGTAAGGCATTCAAACCAACTTCAGATTAGATATATTTAACTATATAACTATATAAATCCACCCGGAACAACTTACATAGCAATGTTTATAATTAATATGTGATCTTCAGTGGCATCCAAGATTTATTTACTAGTGAAATTCTAAGTTTTTGGTTTAAACATCTTTAATCAACAATGGTTTCCTACATTTCCCACAATGCAATAAAAAAAATTTGGGCTTTCAGAGAAAAGAAAGGAGATGGTAGAGCAAGAAACTCGAGCAATTGGAGAAACCTGTATTACTTTGATGGGTACTTTGAGCTACGTATTACCACAAATTCATCTTTTGGAAAGAAGTACTTCCATCTTTGAAAGGATAAAGTTTAAGAATTTAGAGCTTAATCGACAGACAACCTTGACCACAGAATTAATTAAAGTATTTTACAAAAACATGTTCTACGTAGACATTTATGTGGTACCCAAAACGTTTGGCTCTCTGAAGGGAACTCTTTGAGGAAATAAATATCAAAAATGGAGGATACATACAGTATGTTACAATATAATTAACAATATATTAAAAATATATTTAAACTATACATTTAATTTATATTACAATTAATAAAAACACATATATAAAATGCAGTGGAGGAAAATGCACTTATGATGTATATTTTTAATTATTTGGAAATATATTACAATAGGTGACTAAATGCTCTATTACTCCAGTGCTACATGAGTTTCTGCTATTTTCTAATTTAGTCTTTAATATACAAATGCCAAGTCTAATGAATGCCCTAGGAGCTACCTGTTCATTATATAGCTCAAGTAGGAGAGGGGGTAAAAATCCATAACGAGCAAGTCATCATTCTTATATCCCATGAAGTAACTGCAAGCATCACTAATAATGAGGAAGTGGATACAGTAATTGGCTCCACTTAGCTTTAAACAGTGTGATCTCATTGATTACTGCACTCACCGGCAAATGAGACTTTATTACCCCCAGGAAGAAATAAGTTAGTATAGTCAAGACGTGGCACGTGCAATCACACAGCCAAGCCTCAGTGCTTTCTTACGGAAGCAAATGTAATATAGGGAGAGGTTATTATTAACCGAGCAGCTTATTTCATTTAAAACTGTGTAAATACAATGTGGTCTGCATAGTGATTGTGAGGGTAATATTGCCTTGATGAAGATAATCTTGCTTTTTCACTGAGCTGTCAAGATGGCAGAAAATTCCAGAGTTTCCACTTTGTCTCTCTCAATGGGGGATGACAGCTGGAGGGACTCTGTCATTATGCATATTGTGCCACAGTGAGCTAGAAAACACTCAGCCTCAGGCTAAACAGCATAGAGAATATTTCCTGTCTTTGGAAGACATTTCATTTATCATTCTACCTCTTGCAAGGGTTATTTTCTTTTGTTTGTTTGTTTTTTTGTTTGTTTGTTTGTTTGTTTGTTTTTTTAAATAATGCTGCTTTCCTGTTTTGGCTATTCTCAAAGCACAATTTTTGTAATCTTGTGTATCAGGTATATATTGGGTAGGGATTAGCCACATGAAAATGCAGGTGCAAATTCATTCAATATCGTTTTGAAACAGATTTAGATCTGTTTAGATCAGATTTAGATCAGATTTAGAGCACTCAGATACCGTCGCAGAGTGAAACAGTTAACGGAAACCATTAGAGCTGTCCCAATAAGGGACCTTGTTTTAGCAGGTCAGTGGAATTAAGCCAGCCCTGCATATATTTAATATAGATTTAAATCAGATTCAAACCACATCAGAAGGTCTGAGATGCATTTTATCCAGATGTTAGTAATATTCTCATCCAAGTGTCAGTATCTGCTCAATACATAAAGAAGTAAAACATGATGTCCATGACATCCAGGCCTGAATCAAAGTAATAATAGAGAATTGGAAATGTGGTATATACAAGAAAATAATTCCTTATTAACGATTTGGACAGATAATGACATTTAGCAAGATGTCAGACAAGCAGATATCTGCTATCTCATCTTTACACAGTTAAATCACATGATAAACTAAGATCAGGTGTCCAATATCATGTGTAAGATAAATAAAAAACTAAGACAAATTAAACAAATAAGTCATAAAAATTTCCCAACCAGAGGCTTGGATAGAGAGCAAATTTGAAAGTTGAAATCACCATGGATCAAAGTTTTATCAGAGGTAGGTACACCAGGCAGAAATTGTGAGAATTCTGGAGTGGATTCAGATGGTCTGTACACTAGCACAGGGCTAGACATCTCCACTTCAACCTTGAGTACTCTCTTACAGTCAACAGTCTGCATTAAAAACAGTACTTTAAAAATTATTGTTAAACCTCCACCTCAGCCTGTGGCCCTGAGAGCACTAAAAAACTTAGTCACTGAGAGAGAATTTAACAAGAGTGTTTAAATCACCAGAAGTGTTCAAAGTCTCAGTCACAACAAGAAAATCCAAAATGAAGAAATCACTTAAAGTAAAATGTTTATTTGATCGTGTGTGAAAAAGAGCTCTTTTGGCTGAGACTGAATCCAAGAATCATTATGAAACTAGGTCAGGAGTGGTGTTTAAAGAAGTGTATTTTAGTCAGTGGAGGACTTTGCTGCTTCAAGTGAATGATGACCAGGTAGAGGAAATGTGACCGTTGATGGCAATGTTTGCAGACTCAAAGTTTTGGCAAGAGACACCATGAATGTATGAAGGGTGGCGAGCTATCCCTAAATTGATGTAATGTTTACAAATCACAGGAGACAGGCAGGTCTTAATGCTTAGATGCAACAGTTGACATTTCAAGTAGGCAGTAATTTTACAGTACGTGTAAAGCCCTATGGAAGACCTGATGTTAACAAGACAATTGTGGCAGAGCTCAGGAGCAGAAGGATAACCAGATACATGTTTAGAAAAAAAACATCCTGACATTCCAATTTGTACAAACAACTAAGTAAAAGACCACATTAGCCAGCAATCCATGAAACCACTTGAAAGCCGACATCTACTGTGGTTAGATTCTCCTACCGATTATGACTATTATTCTTGGAATTCTCCAAAGAAAAGTAACACCAAAGCAATCACACACTTGCATCCTGTCACTCACCACATTTTACAGATATATTGTTGTTAAAAACTCTCTAAATCAGCTCTCATAGTTACTACCAGCACTTAGCAAAAATAGTTTTTTAGTCCAGCCATCCATCCAACCATTCCTCCATCCACCCACCCTACCTCTATTCCTAAGCTCTGCATGGGAACTCTATAAAATAAGTTCAATGCTCTTCTCATTATAGATATCTCTTTAATAATGTGAAATGAATTAGGTCTCTCATCCATGCCCTTTTCAGAAGCATTCTCTGCAGAGGCGAAGTAAAGATAAGAGACTCGTGCTTTGATGCACAAGGCATCCCAGCCTGGTTTCCAAAACCCATTTTACAGACACAACAGCAACTGCAAATATGACCTATGGATACCAATATGACTCTTGACATGAAGAGCGAGAGCAGAGAGCAGTTCATTATAAGAAACAGTATGCAATCACTGCATAAGCTTGTTTGCAGTTGGTTATCATTTTAAAAAGATCGGAAGAGCCTTGGATATCAAGCATAAAAATATATATATGTGGAATTATATTTTCCCTTTTCATTGCATATAAATTGAATTGGAATGAGATTCTCCACATGAATCTGCAGTCTGAATATGTAATCTTTATCCTTCTGTCACTGTTACTATGTCAGCCTTGTTTGCTGGCTGTGGTAGCTCAGTGGTCAAGACGTTGGACTACTGATCAAAAGGTCATGAGTTCAAACCCCAGCAGCACCACTGCTGGGCCCTTGAGCAAGGCCCTTAACCCTCAACTTCCCAGTTGTAAATGAGATAAATGTAAGTCGCTAAATAAATAAGGGTGTCTTCCAAAATGCCATAAATGTAAATGTTTGATCCTGAACTTGGGTTACTGTCATTTTCTCCACGTGTCTGTGTGGATTTACTACAGGTTCTCCGGTTTCCTCCCACCCCACAAGAACACACTGGTAGGTACACTAAATTGGCCCTAGGTGTGAATGGGTGTGTGCTATATACTAGTGTCCTATTCGGGGTGTATTCCCTCCTCATGGATAGACTCTGGATCCACCATGACACTGACCAGGATAAAGCAGTACAAGACTAGACCCTAAGGTCTAATTATGTGCCTTAAATAATTTTAAAAGTATGCTATTCACATTTCCATTTCCATGCTATTCACATTTCCACTTGAGGCTACCACCCCAGGGACAAGGAAAGGTTTAATTTTTTTTTTTCTGAGAGTGTATGTGGAAGTTTCCCACATTTACACTTAGTCATCTGTCAGATGACTCAAGGACCTAAGAGTCTTCTGATCAGTGGCCTAGAGCCAAAACACCTGGAAGTTCATTGCTAAAGTTCAAATGTAAGTTATCCATTAAAAAACACTTTAAAAATAATGAGCACAGGGTTACTTTAAGATAAGGTCTTGAGTGAGTAGAACATGTTTACAAGATTACAGTGGCATCTACTGATGGTCCTCAATCTAGATGTGTGTTCTTCAGGGAGCTCCATAATGATCATCATTTATCTCTGTGCTTTGTGCTCTCTCTTGATCTTCACAGAAGCCAAGAGTCTTTACAATTATTCATGTTTTTAAAGCTTTAAAGCTACAAGTTTAACAAATTGCAGCTCAATATTAGTGACATTAATGAGTTACATTGCAGTTAATGAAAGTGTCATGGTAAGAGAAAGGCAGCGTTGCAAATGAAGCCTTGTATTGTAATAAGGTGCTTGAGTGTCTCTTCTGGTAGCTGTTTTCTCTCCTGTAGCAGGAAGCCAGTCGAGCAGGTCCTCATATCTTTAATAAGCTGTATTGATGGGAGGAGTCTCTGTGGTGTCGCTGTCCACTGGGACACATGAAGCTCTGTACATGTGGCCACGCTGGCCTTCTACATCCTCATTAAAGAAAGGAAGTGTGCTGTTAGTACGTGCTGCAAGCCTGAACTTAAACTTGTAAATTGGTTTTAATGAGCAGATGAGGAAATTCATGGCCACTGGAAGGATACAGCCTGTAGTCATGGCATTGTATTCTTTTTCTCTCTTTCTCTCTTTATCTCTCCCTCTCTCTCTCTCTCTCTCTCTGTCTCATTCTCTCCCTCACATACATCATGTTATGGTCAGTTTTTCCATAATTGACCTCTTCTGATCCAGTCTAAATAAAGATGTCCACAGAACATGTCTTTCACATGCTGCATTCAGAGGAACCTACAAACTATTTCCAGCACACTTTATTACCACTAGCATTCATTCATGCATGCTGTTCAGGGTGGCAGTGGATCCAGAAAGAGCAGTGGGCGCAAGGCCGGAGGATTCACCCTGGATGAGACAACAGTCCATCGCATACACACATTCATACACTCAATCACACTTAGGGGCAATTTAGTGTAGGCAATCCACCTACCATATTTTTTTGGGAGGTTGGAGGAAACCAGAGAATCTGAAGGAAACCTACACAAACATGGGGAGTATATGTGAAAGACACTAAATACAGCTCAGGATCTGAAAATACTACACACTGCACCACCATGCCACCTTTCCCACCAGCAGCCAATGTTTAACTAATGATCTTGAGGAAATTGAGTCATTTCCTCTATCTGTCAGAAGGGAGAGATAAAGAGCTTCATGGAATTCACAAATTCTTCTTTGCTCTCCAACAAATATATCATAGTCCTCAGAATGAGACTGAAAGATTAGCAGTCAGAGTGTGAGCAGACTTGAGAGAGGTTAAACTCTGCTCAGTGGTTGTCTCATCATGAACATGCTGATCTCCACCTCTCCACTTCCAAGTGCTTGATCCATTCCAGTACAATTCCTCACAGCATGTTCATCATTTCTGCTCTGACCTTTCAGAGTTTCATCAAGAGTATCATTACGTTCCTTTGATTTGCATTACCTCTTTGAAAGTTCTATCAGAGGAAAGCTTTCTATCAGCCTTATTCAGGTTTTTTAAAAAACTGAGACAAAATATTTTTCTTTGTTTATTACATCCAAATTGTTGCTGTAGCTGGTTCTGATCTGAAAGTCTGAAAAGAGAAGAATAAAGAGAGGGAAAGAGGAAGGAGTGAAGTGATTTTTTGAGGGAGGAGTAGATACAGTATATCGTGGCAGGAAGAATGGAGAGATGGAAGAATAGACAGATAATGGGGAGAATGGAAAGATGAAGATAGGCAAGAGTGAAGAGAAGGATAGAAGGAAGAATCAAGAAATGGAGATCAGCTAGAATGCAGGGGGGGAGAATTGAGAGATGAAACAGTGGAAATATGGATTGAGGGAAGCGAGATGGGGAAAGGAAGAATGGAATATGAAGAGTGGACAGAGGAAAGACTGAAGAGAGAGAAGAATGGAGAGATAGAGAAAGTTAAGTATGAAGAGGGGGCGATGGCCGGAGAAGTTAAAAGAGGGAGGAAAAAGGGAGATACAGAAGGATGAATGGAGAGATGGGACAGATGGATAGATGGAGAAAGAAGATGAATAAACCGTGGGAAAAATGAAGAAAAGCAACAATAGAGAAATGAAAAAGGCAGATGGAGAGATAAGATGGGGAGAGGGATGGATGGATAGATGAAGTGTTAGAGAGAGAGGAGTGGACTGAGGGGATAATGAAGAGATAGAGAAAGGGAATAAAGAAGAAATAGAAAATGAAGGGAGTGAGGGAAGAAAAATTTTGGGCATCATCATGGCGGAGTGGTAAAAATTAAATTATGCACTGCGTTGTGATTGAATTATGAATGCTCCGCCCCCTGGTCCGCCCCTTTCACATGCTCTGTTAGTCCAAGCTCCAGCTATTGACATGATGGAGTCAGAAAACAGAGGAATGAGATCACTCTAGCACTGAGACATAGAGATGAGCAAACACTGAGTGATAAATCACATTAAGAGCACATTAAGTGAATGATGGAGACCGCTTACTGATCTAATGCAGTCCATTTAATAGTGAAGATGCTGCATCAATGATGTTACAGTTTTATCATCCTCATCTCGTCTCAGCACAAGTTTGAGGGATTTGCCTCAACCCCCTCTCCCCCTTTCTCTCCTCTATCTCTTTCATTCTCTCCTTGCCACGTCGTACATCTTAGATGAGGCTGTTCAGATTGATGACAGCAAATCCAGCAGATGGGGGAAATGATTGAATCCTGAACTCGGGCTGAAAATAAAAATATTTGCTTGCAGTTCAGTGGCCCATGAGGGACTTAGAAGAAGTAGAATGAAATGTTTCTTCTCCCACAAGTCCCCTCTATTACAGCAGGGTCTCACAATCTGAGTTGTGGCTTGAGGGCCACTCGCTGGAGACTCTGAGAGCCAGCCAAAGCAGCTTGGCTTTAGTGAGATCACAGGCTGAGATATTAACAGCTTGCTGGGGAGTGAGGAAGGGAAGAAGAAAGAATGAGGAGTGATTATAAGATCCCATCTATCAGCCTTGCTCATCTTTTTCCATCACTGTCAGACCTGAATGCTCTACACGTTCTTTCACCATCACGCTGCACCTGCTGTAAATCTCTCACCATCTGTCTGTTTCTATCAGGATTTATATTGCTCGCTGTCGTTTTCTGTCACACAGCCCCTTACTTCCTCTTCCTCTTTCATTCTTCCTCACTTGTTCTACCTTTGGCAATCATCACATGCTTCCCAAACCTCCTTATTTTCTTTCCTGTCCAATCACTGCTTCTGCCTAGCAACCATTGCTATCTGCTTTTACCTAGATCCAGCTTTTAGCACATTATCAGACACACCAGCATTTTAGACCTACACTCACTGGCCACTTTAATAGCAACACCTGTACACCTACTCATTCATGCAATTATCCAATCAGCACAGTGCATAGTCATGCAAATACAGGTCAAGAGCTTCAGTTAATGTTCATATCAAACATCAGAATGGGGAAAAATTTCATCTCTGTGGCATGATTGTTGGTATCAGATGAGCTGGTTGGAGTGTTTCAGAAACTGCAGCTCTCCTGGGATTTTCACACACAACAGTCTCTAGAGTTTATACATAATGGTGCAAAAAAAAAAATCCAGTGAGCAGCAGTTCTGTAGGCAGAGGAGAATAGCCAGACTGCTTTGAGCTGACAGCAACTTAAAAAACTAAATATCCATTCTTTACAGCCATGGTTAGTAGAAAAGCATCTCAGAACACACAGTACTCTGAACCTTGAGATGGATGGGCTACAACAGCAGAAGACCACATCAGGTTCCACTCCTGTCCACCGAGAACAGGAATCTGAATCTACAGTGGGCACACATTCATCAAAACAGTTTAAGATTGGAAAAAGTTCAGGCAATATTTTTCCAATCTTCGAATATCCAGGTTTGGTTGGGGTTCTATACCACTAAAACTTTTGTGGCTAATTACAGACATTAACAATGATCTAATTACAGACATTTCATACTGTATGTAAAGGATCTCTGGCTATTAGTTACTGTTATTTCTTCAAGTTTGATAAGATGTTGTGTAAGCCAGGCACACAAAAAAAGAAAAGAAAAAATTAAAAAGGGAAGAGTTATTGTTCAATTATGCGTTACAGCCATTTACATTTCATGAGCACAAAATGCCCAAAATCACTACAAATTAGTCCTGTAAAATACTGCAATCTCAACACCTCAAAAATAGCTAGCATGCTAAATGTTAGCTAGCCAGCTTGTCTTTGCTGATCCATCTGTACCAAACCATCCAAACCAAAAGCAGTGATGATTTTCTTGTGTGAGCTATACAGTAACTCTATCACTTAAAAGGGTTAGATAGCTAAGGTTTGGCATGCC